AACAGATTATTACCCGTGAACAGAAAATCATGTGAATCAATATATTGAAGCATTACCAAGCCTAAACTTCTTATAGTACTCGATTAAAACATTCAATAGCTTCCTTAGGTTGATGTCATGTTTCAGTTTAACTACTATTAGGTTTCTTGTCATTTAACCTCATTCAAAGGTGGCGATCATTGGTCATGCACATCATGGACACCAATCGCTTTAACTTTCTTACCTTCCTATCCTGCTACTCAACAACTAATTTTGGCATTACTCTCTCTCTCTCTCTCTGTTTGCTTTCATTATACTAAGTCAGGAGTTAGAAAAAACACGTGATCCTTCGTTCACAACATTCTGATGTCATATGACTTTATAGCCTAGGTCTAAAACTTTTACAGAAGGATGGAGTAGACTACGCCACAGTTGATGTGCCTTGCAATAGGTAATCAAATGTGTCTCTGGTGTCTGATTTTGTGTACACTAAGCTTGTTTTCTTTGAGTGCTGAGATTTTAAAAGCAACCTGAGTACTGGGACAAATTCTACTAAATAAATAAACCATTCAGGTACAAAACTGATAATAAACACCCCAACATATTTGTTTGAGAGGTTCAGAGTCTTTTCTAAACTATTGATTGACCAGATATTCTCCGGACTTGAGAAGTGTATCATTTTTTCATATAAGGTCGTCAGAATACTTTTTCTTGAATTTCCAGTTAAACAGGAGACAATATACTAACTGGGAAGAATTTGTTTTTTTTACTTTGGATTTCTACAGAAAATATCTGTCCTTAATCGAATAACAATAGTCAGAGTTCAAAGAACGCAGCAGCACGATATCTATGTAGTGTTAAGACAAGCAAACAATGGACGCAAATACTTCCTATCCACTGTAGTCGTAAATAACGACAGACGCTCACTTTTAGATAGAATTCAGCATCTATGTAATAAATCTACATCATTGCACATCATTCGCTACTTTTCTTTCAAGATTTCAAAATTTATCTGCATCCCACATGAGTACTTGGTATGTACGTGCGTCAAAAAGACAATACAAACAAGTTGGATCCATTCTACGCACTTGTCTACTTATTTTGTGCTTAGTATCTGTCTTCTTATTTCACAAGTATTATTCTCTCAAACAGACGAGAATCGCATCAACAGTCATCAACTTATCAACTATACCTACATAATAACCAGAGAAGAGTTGAATTTTCCTCTTGCATTCAGTATAATCACTTATCGTGATTTTGAAAGAGCACTACGACTCATCAAAGCAATCTATCGACCATATAATATATACTGTATACATATTGATAAGAAATCAACCACAACAGATTATGCTGAATTTGTTCAACATGTTCAACAGTTAGGTGAAAATATCTACTTTGTTCCAGATAAACAACGTGTTCATGTTGTCTGGGGTCGATATTCTGTACTGGAAGCCGATTTAATCTGTGCTAAATTATTGTTAAAATATGGTAAAAACTGGAAGTATTTTATTAATTTAACTGGGCATGAATTTCCATTACGAACAAATTGGGAATTAGTAAAAGCATTGAAAGCGTTAAATGGATTGAATATAGCACCAGCGCATTATTTACAAGGAAAACCATGGCGTATTCCACCTAAACGACTTGTTCCACTAGATGTAAGTGAATTCCTTCCAATGTCCCTATGAATATTTCGCTTTGTTGTACTTTGTGAAGAAATTTTCACTTACCTTATGTAAATATTCTAGTAATAACTGTTAAAGAACTTCATTTTGTTTTATTTTTTATTTATCAGATGAAAGTAGAAATTCATTTCATTGGTCATACCGGATGTTACTTACACTGATCTCAGCAAGCATAAATATGCTATCACTATGACTACTTCTGAGAGCATTAGTACTGGTTTGATTGCTCAAAAGCACCTTTCAACTGACTTTACTGGAATGAGAATAGTAAGATGTGAAGACAGTGACTTGACTTCCGTGACATAGATATTTCATAATCCTTTCTTGAGGAACTAGTGACCCATACACTTGGCAAAGTAACACTGATAATAATTGAATCTATTTTCTTTATAATAATATTCCAACTGGTTTCTCTTCTTCTGAAATCTTCACAGATTTATGTAATGGTCTAAAGACGTAGTAAGGAAAGCATAAGTCTTCATGAAGTCGACAGCTCATCAGTTATGTATACCAAGCAACTGACCACCGCGATATTATACTTTGGATGAAATACTTTTACGGTGACCAGAACAAGTTAAAATATATCAGGTTATGAATTCGTTAGAGACTGATGTGTATTTCCCATAGTATTACGGGTTTCCTGAGTTCGATCCTAAATTTGGCATTTATCGGCTGCTGGAAAACTTAGAAAACATGCATTTATGCGCCGAACATGGCATGCTTTCCAATGCTTGATCTGTCTATCTATATGTCCACTGATTTTAGCTGATCAGAAGTCTCCAGCTGGAAGAAGTAAAGTAGAGAGATGAATATGTGATCGGCGAAACGTTTTCTGCTTTCCTTGACTTATTTTTAATCAGTGAAAGGATTTTTATTAAATCTCATTCAAATTAACTTACTCATTTAAAGTTATAGCATAGAAAGATTTCTTTGTCTGTTTCACACACATTTTAATGAAATTCTTGAAATTAGGATTAATTGTGTATACAAAAATATATGCGCTTGTTTCTCAACAGGTTTTTCGGCTACATAGTTGTCTGTTGAAGCATTACAGCTTACTGAATAAAGTAACCAGATGGTAGTAATGACTAGTGATGAAATAGTTTAACTTCTTTTCCACCTTATTGCATAAAATCTTCACAGCTACATATATTAAATCATTTACGAAGGATAAAAATGATGAGAACTTTAAACCAAATGTTTGCGCAATTATCATTCCTTACTGAGAATAATACAACTAACTACAAAGTGATTCTGAAATCTCTTAGTTATTTACTACGAAAACCGAAATTTTTAGACCGTAAATTGTGATCAGCTCGAAGGCAAGAATGAATGTAAAATGAGATAGTAAATAGCGTCATGATGTTCGAATTCTTTTTCGAGTCTATCCAGGAATCTTTCAACAGAATCAGATTATTCTAGGTATTTCACTATCTGATTTGATTTATATTGATAATATTACCTATAATTTTGTTTTCAAACGATGAAGATCGTTTTGAGTTAAGTTTACATCTTTCTACCCAATCAACAAGGATTATTGGTGAGAGTAACCTTTAGATAGCCATTATATTGTACTTAAATATTGAAAGCTGTGTTATTTAGACTTCTGTATATATTAGCACCACTTCAGTATTGTCTTTACAACCCCTGATTTATAGATCACTTGGTACGAAGGACCTGTTCATGTAGCACTGAGAAGAGAATTTGTACATTATATGTTATACAATGAAAAAGCATTGATTCTATTAGAATCTCTCAAAAATCATGAAAAATAATGCGACAGTGCATAATACCAGATGAACAATACTTTACTATCCTAAATAACAATCCACAAACATTTCATATACCCGGTGCATATCAAGGACCATTCAAACAAAGTGAAAAATACTTTGTTTAACTCGTGTTAAACTATGGTGGTTTTATATTTCCAAGTGTCATTCAAATATTTATCGTAATGCTATATGTATGCTTGGTAAAGGTGATTTATCCTATCTTATGCATCATCCACATTTCTTTGCTAATAAATTTCTTCCTGATGTTGAACCTGAAGCATATGATGAATTGGAACGTTGGTTGGCTAACAAAATCCTTTACGAATTTCATTATAATAAAACGCATCCATCATTTTTATATCAGTATTATGTGAATTATACATTTTCACAAATTAATAATTTGAAGTTTAATGAACAATTTTGAAAGAGGTGAAAAAAAAGCCAAAAACTGTAGAAATTAGTTGTTGACAAATTATTAGTAAACGAATATCAAGAATCTGCTAAACTTTTATTCCTTTTTTGTACTATTGTACTACTTATTATATGCAAGTAATATGTACTGGAAATTCTCTTCAAGGTGATTAGAAAAAAAACTGCATTTATCATTATTCTGAAAAAGGAAAATTTATTTTACACCCTTATTGCATTCCATACATTGAATATTGTCAAGAGTTATTTTTATCACTATTTATAAATGACGCCTTGTGGCTGTTTTATAAATTTAAACAATTGTGTACACCTATAAATGATTATGAGCAAAACGGATTCACGATTATTTCCAATATCAGTCAATTTTTGCATACTGTCGTACTGAAGATAGACATATGCATTGATTTCAGTGTCAAATCAAATCTGTAGTGTTGATGAAATTCACGATTGCATAATAACTTTTTATCAGTGAGTTTGGAAGGATATAAGCGTAAAACTTGTGCCCTGTGGTAGAATGTAATTCCATTTTTTATTCATCTATTAGATTTATCACACAGTGTAACAGTATTGTTTACTGGATTACGTTACGGACATAATTTATTGTCCATAGTCATATCAAGATAACTACACAACTTTGAGATATCCTTTACATAGTCCTAATTTCCTCGCCCCCTTTGTGACATGGGTAGTAAGATTTTCCATATATCCAGAGTAGGTGCTGAGTCATTCTTGTTGCATGTGTTAGGTGTTGATTCGATAAACGAAGATTCAGTAATTAATCTCTCCCTCCACCCTGTTGTGTTAGTTTTAAGAAATTTCACCCTGTCCCATCATATGGGCGACATGAATGCCAAACTGGGAGCAGACAACACAGGAAGAGAACTCATCATGGGTCGAGAGGCGCTAGGTGAAATGAATGAGAATGGAGAATTGTTTGCAGAATTCTGTGCATTCAACGATTTGGTGATTGGAGGCAGTGTGTTCAAGCACAAGGATATCCACAAAGCGACATGGATTTCACCAGACACCAGGACACACTAAAAATCAAATCGACTTTATCTAAATCTCAAGAAAATGGAGACGCAGTCTACTTGACACAAGGTCAAGAAGAGGAGCAGATGTAGGTTCAGACCACTCACTATCTAGTGCAACGAACCTTCCAAATCAAGTTAAAAGCCTTCAAGGAAGTTGGTGATAGACCTCAGTTCAAGTACAACACTCGGAAACTGAAGGATGAAACTACAAAGGAGATCTTCACGTCAGCCATCAAGACAAAATGGGAGATATCGAGGAACATCCCTGAAGAAACCTGTGTGGAAGAACACTGGAAGTCTTTGAAAGCTATGTGGAAAGAAACCTGCACAACAGTATTAGGAAGGAAGAAGAAAGAAGACAAGGAATGGATCTCGATGGAAACCTGGAAGCTGATAGAGGAGAGGAGGATGGTGAAACAGAAGATAAACCAGTGCAAGGATGCTCAACGACAAGAGGAACTGAGCACAATGTACAAAACACTACACTGGACAAAGAAGTGACGAAGAGTGCACGCAAAGACAAAAGACACTTCTACGAAACACTGGCAAGTGAAGCAGAACAGGCTGCAGGTAAGAGAGATAGAGACCTGACAACATTGTATCAAATAACCAGGTTGCTATCTGGGAAGAGATCAACGCAGACGAAGCCAATAAAAGATGATGACGGAAATTTAATTACGAAAGAAGAGAAACAGAGGGAACAATGGGCCGACCACTTCAAGAAGCTCTTGAATCGACCACCACCATCACCTGCAACTCGTCCAGCAATACCACCTGTAGCCGCTGAACTACAAGTGAACATAAATCCTCCAACGAAAATGGAAGTCGTGAACGCCATAAAGCTACTGAAATGTGGGAAAGCAGCAGGACTAGATGGGATCCCGCCAGAAGCACTGAGAACAGATGCAGAGACAACAGCGGACATGCTCACACCACTATTGCAGAAGGTGTGGAAGGAAGAGAAGGTACCTGCCAATTGGTTGGAAGAAGGTTTACCTTGTCAAACTGCCGAAGAAAGGAGACCTCAGTGCTTGCAAGAACTGGCGAGGAATCACTCTCCTGTCCACTCCAAGTAAAATATTAAGCCGCATCATCCTGGAGAGGCTTAAGGATGAACTGGATTCAAAAATACGACCGGAACAGGCCGGCTGGATTCAGGAAGTACAAATCATGTGCAGACCAAATTGTAACGCTCCGCATCATCATAGAACAGAGCATAGAATGGCAATCAGCTCTCTGTCTCAACTTCATCGACTTTGAGAAGGCCTTTGACAGCGTCGACCGAGAAGTAATTTGGAAACTGCTTCAATACTACGGAGTACCGCAAACCTTTATCCGCCTCATTCAACAACTATATGAAGATGCCACATGCCAAGTAATCCACAATGGGAAGCTCAGTGATGTTTTTGAAGTGAAGATAGGAGTGAAACAAGGTTGCCTACTATCCCCCATGATATCCCTGATTGTGGTGGACTGGATCATGCCAGCAAACAGTGGGGAGCTGTGAGAAGAGGGGGATACACTGGACTGCGGAAAAGAACCTAGAAGACTTGGATTTCGCCGATGACTTGTGCCTGATGTCACATAAACTTGAAGATCTACAGGCGAAAACCAACAAGTTGGTAGAAGAGGCAGCGAAGACGGGACTTCAAGTGAACATAGAGAAGACAGAGGTGATGAAGATACCCAACCACCACCATCAACAACAACAACAAACTCCAATCACCATCACCATGAACGGGAGAAACTTAAAGGAAGTAACCTCCTTCACCTATCTAGACAGCACTGTTTCAACTACAGGTGGCGGCACAGACGAGGATGTCAAAGTGAGAATCGGAAAAGCAAGACAGGCGTTCATTAGCCTGAAACCAGTGTGGAGATCTTCTGCACTCAGCATGCGGAACAAGATACGGATTTTCAACACCAACGTCAAGTCAGTGCTCTTGTATGGTTCAGAGACTTGGCGCGTCACGAAAGGGATTTCCAATAAACTACAGACATTCATCAACAACTGCTTACGCTGGCTCGCTACTGAAGATCAGCTGGCCAGAAAGAATAAGCAACAAGGAACTCTGGGAACGAACCAACCAAGAACCTATCGCTCAACAAATATGCAGGAAGAAGTGGAGATGGATTGGCCATGCACTGAGAAGGCCGACTGGGGACATCACGCGTCAGGCCAGTCGCTCGAGTGGAATCCCCATGGGAAGCGACGAGTTGGACGTCCGAGGGTGACATGGAGGAGATCTTGCGAGGAGGAAGTGCGAGCTTCTGGGCTGTCGTGGAACCAGGTTCAAAGATCTCAGAGAACAGAGGTCACTGGAGACGTGCTACTGAAGCCCTATGTTCCATTAGGAACCCAAGGGACTAACAATGATAATAATAATCCTATTGTGTAGTTGTGTGTAATCGCATGCATAGCTATGGCTGAGCTTTTTCTAAATTCCTTACCTTAGTAGGATCTACCAATTTTGACTTTCACATTCAAATCGTCTCACTCTATATCAGTTAAAGTTGGCTTAGTAAAGTGCATAAGTAACAGGGCCAAAAAACTTGCTAGTAAACCAGAAGATCTAAAACAAGAAACCAGATACATTAATTAAAGACCCCTTAATCATCAACAATTACCCTCGCAAATTAATTGATAAACTCCTTAGGAATTGTAAGAAAAATATCAGTAACACAGTTATTGATAGTAGTAATAATAGTGGTGATAACAGCAACAATATTGGTAATGATGGTGTCAATAATAATGTTAATAATAGTAGCGGCAATACTGTGAATAGAGAATTCAAAACCTCCGCAGTATTACCATACAAAGAAGGCACTTCAGAAACACTACGTAGAATTCTCAATAAGGCTGGAATTAGAGTGGCATTTAAACCTACAAACTCACTTCGAAATAGCCTTTGTAGGTTAAAAGATCCTACTGACCCAATTAAGCAGAATAACTTAGTGTACCAAATCCTTTGCAGTGATTGTGAGGTCAAATACATAGGTCAAAGTAGTCGACCAGGGTCAAATAGGCTATCGGAACACAAAAACTTAGCTAGGTCAAAATTGGTAGATCCTACTAAAGTGAGGAATTTAGAAAAAACCTCAGGTATAGTTATGCATGCGATTACACACAACCATACAATAGGATGGGACAGGGTGAAATTTCTTAAAACTAACACAACAGAGTGAAGCGAGAGATTAATTACTGAATCTTCGTTTATCTAATCAACACCTAACACATGCAACAAGAATGACTCAGCACCTACTCTGGATATATGGAAAATCTTACTACCCATGTCACGAAGGGGGCGAGGAAATTAAGACTATGTAAAGGATATCTCAAAGTTGTGTAGTTATCTTGATATGACTATGGACAATAAATTATGTCTGTAACGTAATCCAGTAAACAATACTGTTACACTGTGTGATAAATCTACTGAATCAATAAAAAGGAGTTTGGAAGTAATTAGTTCGATGAAGGGTTAGTTAGATATCGGTGTCAGCACTGATATAATGTTATTATCTTTCACCTCCATTAAAAACTTAGACACTACATCGGGCCCGATAGACCAGGTTCATTGTAAACATAGCATATGACGATGGCAGCAGCAGTAGTGGGCGTTGCTGACATGAATGGATTTAAGTAGCATATGTTGAGAGGGTGTCAGAAATCATAGGGAATTACCAGCAACGGGTAAGGATTCCGCCAAGAGGAATGCAAGGGACAGTGCAAACGTATAAAGAGCAAATCAAGAGAGAAGCAGAAGACGAAATGAAGGACATTTTGCAGATGATGGTTCTAGTGCAAGGTGTACCGTATTTAATGGCTACTGTCCCACTAGTTGACTGTGCGAGGGGCTTCTCGCATACCTGTCTGTGGCTTCTTACAGTAGTAGTTGAAATAGTACGCTGGAACCACATATCAGTTATTATATGTTAGGAAGAATTATATGCATAGCTAAGG